AGTAAAGATAGTTCGAACCTCCGTAAACTCAGTGTTAAATATCGGTACAGATTTTAAATACATTTGTACACCAGACTCGTTTCTCGACATTTCGTTTAGAATTATTATCAATTATATCGTATGTTATTATCTCTGCCGTCGTTAAAATCAGTTCATAAACACTCACTACTGAAAACACATCTACGTTTGCCAAATTATAATTCAGCCGCGTTACAATTGCATTCTAATAATCGTACATTTATCTTCGTCATAATGGAATAAGTAAGTTAAGAAACTCTATTATCCACGTATATATATATATATACATATAACGCGTATACTTGCACTCTTTCTACGTCTATGAAGTATACACATATATGCGAGAATGCGAGCATTTAACAATGCATAAATGCACACGACTCTCAGTGATCGTTTTAACATTGAGTAGCGACGCGTCAAATGTAATTATGCAAGCAAACAAAAAATCGACAGGCACTGCATGCGTATTCATATCGCTTGTCGTGAAAATTATAATATGCATATCCCCTGAATTCAACGTTCGAATAAATCCTTACATTGTTGTCTTAAACGCACTTACGATTTATGCAGTGTCCGTCCAATGGTGTATACGTTCGAAGAAGCATGTTCTTATTTTGTAATAACGTATTTCAACGAGGATGCATCCGCGCAACTTGTACAAACGTAATACGATGCACACATGTATCGGCAACAAGTAAAAAGAATTTCATTACGGAGCGCAATACCAGGTTACGCGTGAATACCGTTTTAAATTGTTCGTCGGTAGTCTGTTGTTTCGAAAATAAAATTTTATTTTACTAGTGATAGATACAAGATGTTCACAAAAATACTAGTTGGTGTTTTTTTTTTTTTTTTTTTAAGTAAGTATTAGACAAAAATGAAAGAGGAAAAAGTATGTAGTCTTCTAATGTCAGTATGATAGCGCATATCAATTTTTTATATTTGCAATGTTTTTGGGAAAACGAAGGTGACTCAATTTTTTAAATGGAGTACTTTATATTTTTTTTTATGTAATATGAAACTGCTGTGCAAAGTTAGAAATGAACAAAATAATTCGACTATTTCTTTTCAATGTGTTTAGAAGTATATTTTATTGGTAAGACTATTATTGATGTTCAATATCACCTACTTGTGCATGAATGCACATTTCAGGTCTATAAAGTACATTTTTATATAAAATATACGTACATAACATATATGTATATACAAGGTGTCCCAAAAATTTTAGAGATCCTTGAAAGGGGTGATTCAGGGGGTGATTTGAAACAACATTTTCGCTAAGGATAAAATTGCTTCAAATCACCCTCCGAACCATCCCTTTCAATTAACTCCAACATTTTTGGGACACCCTGTACATACACTATACCACCACTCATATTTTGGAATGTTACGAACTTTTTAATCAATATGAAATAGAAACAATTGTATGAGATGAAGAGCAATTATATTAACATAAAACTCCATATTTATCACACTCTTACAGCTTATATAATTGTTACTTTTCCTTTTTTACTGAAAATTCAGAAACGTTTAAAAATATGAATGGTGCTATAGGTATCCTTCACAGTGTATGTATAACAACCGTGCAAGATTTAATTTAAGAAATTAAAGGTCACCTTCGTTTCCCCAAAAATATTGCAAATATAAAAAATTGATATACGCCATTGCGTTGGTCGTAGAAAACTAGGAAACTTGTTCCATCATCGTTTATTTCTAACACTTACTTATTTACGAGAAAAACGCCGGTTAGTATTTTCGTAAACACCCTACATGTTGCGTGGGAAAATGAACGCTTCTTTGTTTCTTCTCTTTGCTGCTGAATAATGTCGTACCGATGAATATATCTTAATGCATTCATACTAAAAAATAACCATATACTAAAATAACCGACAATTCCAAACAATTGTCGATGAATATATACAATTACATTCAAACTAATCGTGTAAATTTTAAGAATAAAATTATTTCTCTGGAATTCAATATAAGGAGTAGTACAAATAATTGCGAATGGATTTTGTACGATCCAGAAGCTATCCAATTGCTTGATTCATCTTCGAATAGAAGTGGTACGAAAGATATGCCACTATGATTGTATGGTGCTACTTGTTATATACCGCCGAATATGAAAATGATTAACTACATACGTTCGGAATCGACTATTATTTCTTGCGTAGTTAGTAGTAAACGATAGTAGATATAGCGCCGTTCACGAAATAAGAAACAATATATAGATGTTGTAGAATAATAGAGTATAACATTCCCAATATTTTCTGATTACCATTCTTTGTGATTACTAGATTGCGGATGTTTATGCGTTTATAGAAAATGGATTTATAAGAGAAATATGTATATAAGAATGTATACAAATATGAAATATCACGAATAACATACATGTTTTAATTTTAATAAATGAAGTGATTTAACCAATGAGATAATCTAAACAGATTAATCAATATAATAAACAAAGAAAGTGATTTAATTTAAATAATTATCGTTTAGAAGATAAGACATATTTTCATTCGAGTTTCAATTCTTTTTATGTATCTGTGAAAGTATTAATTTGCATAAACATCTGCAGACTAGATAATGTATTCTAGCAAAATTATGTTTTACTTTTTTAACGTTTACTGTTTTTATTATCAACAAAAACGATTTTTGTAAAATTTTAGTTGCCAAGTAGATCAGTGCATGAAAATTAAATTAAGATTCTCAGTTTCATATATATCGTTTCACGTTCATTTAGATATAGATGTATTGATTTTCATATGTACAGAATTTAAAGCACTGATTCATTGTATCACCTATTTTTCGATTACATAAATCTACAGAGCTAATATTATAACAGATGAACACGAGCATGTATATCTATTGAAAGTATTGTGATCTAATTAATCATAAAAATTGTACCGAGTATATATCAAATGTTTTGTCCAAATTCTTTATTCTGTAAATGTTATAAAATACCTCTAATCGACTGATGAGAAATAGTCAAAACATCGATATGCGCCTAAAGTTAGAGAAATCATTTAAAAGCGTTGAGAAAGAAACATTTAATTAAGACGGTATAACGTATAGACGATGGAAATCGTAACGTTCATGGTATTGCTGGAATAGTAATTCTTTGTAAAAACAAAATGTCATAAATTGAGTTAATTCACAGTTCTTAATTTTTTAAATTATTTTCAAATTATTTCGATTCTTAAATTGTAAATTATTTTTTTTAATACAAACTGAAAATTAAGTGAAATAATCGACTTGAAATATCTTATGTGAAAGTTACTGTTACTCGTATATACAAATGCCAATTTAAAAATTTGTTTTCTTCACCACTGCACGTAATAAAAAAGCAAATTGCGCTACAAACATAATTAAAAATAACAAATCATAGAACTATTATTATACTTTAGATTTTTTCGAGCTAGAATTTTCAAAAGTTGTCTAAAAACAAATTTAATTTCTCACTTTTAACTGTTGATTTTACGAAGAATCGCCTCGATTGTACCACGAATCTCATCCTAAATACGTTTATAATGAATAGCATTTTAAAAATGCATTGATTTGCCATCACTATTTTTCTTTTGTACCAACGATTACGTTGAATGTTTCGAATTATTTGCATAATAATGCGTATATAAATTAATACTACCTGTAACTTTGTATAAATATAATGTAGGCACTTGACTTCTCGAAACAGAATTTCTAAAACTGATCATCGCATAATCAATTCAGACAGTCGAATAGCGAAGAAAACAAAGACTGGAATTCAAACATAGTGGAACTCTTTCATAATTTCGGTGTTCCAAATAATTGGCAATTAAAACCAGCCCCGTGGACCATTATTGAAAAGCATCAATAATCTGATTACAAGGTTATAAAACGATCTCCATTAATTTCAATTGTTCTTACTTGAAACTTGTTTAATGACTGTCTGGGTATATTTGTGACTGTTTAAACGAGATTGTCGAGAGCTACTACACTTGAAACTCTGAGGACCATAAACTCACAATATAGTTTCTTGTTTCCTTCGAGGAAATCTTGATCGAGGTGTTTGAAACATTGAAACTACGACAGTACACTTCGTTCGCGGTACTCGTGTATCATATTAACATTACTTCGTTGTAAAATAATAAAAAGAAAAAAAAATGAAATCGATGTTGTGTCCGAATAAATGTCCATTACATCGTCTGCACGACGAAACATAAGAAATTATTTAATCATCAGTTAAGAGACCTTCGATTAGGTTGATCAAAACAGTAGCGTCAATGTACCGTGTTAACTTATTATAGATGAGTAGATAAATGTCACGAGCCTCGTAACATATGATATAATCTAAAACAATGTGACAATTATTTAGTTAGAATTTCATATATATCGTAAATATGATTATTTTGTACTAAACGTATGTCGCGTTGATGTATTTTTCGCAAGCGTCGTTGCCAACAATACCATCTTAGACGTTATTTAGCAAAAAAAAAAAAGAAAGGAAACGGCGTTTCATTTTGTGGATGTATTTTATCGTGGATTATGTAAACGTAGATTTTATAATGTTGTAATAAAAAGATTTCTTTTTATATAGCTGGATTTACTCTTACAATATATAATTACAGGTAATATAATTCCTTGCAGTTTATTAATTTTTTTAATGTCTAGAAACTTTTTAGACAGTATCGATAGACACATAGTAGTAGAAATAGTGTTATGGACTGTGTAGCTGACAAATATGAATTATCTAAATTGATTGTATAAATGCATTTAAATTTTCATTAGCTTTTTATGAAACTTCTTCCAGATAAAATCTTTATTGTCTTTTATGAAACAATATATTTTGTCTTCGTATCAGTTAGGAGTCACCATTTTTGTTACATTTTACCCACAAGGTGAGTAGTCTAACTGTTATTAACACTAATAAATTCAAAATCCATTTTAACACATGTTCAAATAATCCGCCAATACCAAACAAGTAGTTTACAGATGGCACACATATCAAAATATTGCCACACTGCCAGTTGAGAAGGAACTTAGTTCACAGTTTTTAAAGTTTATAATTAGTTTTGTAGCATTGTGTAGTGAATTCGACATTCTAGATGCATAATATTGTTGAAAGAAAAAGTAAACCGTTTATATAATTAACTGGTAGACAAAGTTTTCATGTATTAGAGGTTAGTATTGTGTGCATTTACATTTAAACGCGTACTGTAAACATTTAAGCATCAAACATTAGGCAAACTACTTTCCACTTACTATTCACGAAAATATAAAAAATCACTATTATTATATTATTATATTATTATTGTATTATAATATTTTCCTTGAATTTCGTTCATGACATTCATATCCAATTGTGAGATATTAATATCGATACATTTTTACATTGTTTTTGTAGATATGGATCCAGAGTTTCTCTCTAGACTGATTCCACAAAACAAAGATCACGTTCGTCCAGCGTGTAAAAAATGTGGATATGCTGGGCACCTAACGTACCAATGTCGTAATTTCATCAAAGTCGATCCAAACAAAGAGATTGTTTTAGATGTTAGTAGTACAAGTTCAGACAGTGATGAAAATTATGTGACTCCACTGACTGAATTACGTGAAAAGGAATTAAAAAAAAAGCAAAAGGAGGCTAAAAAGAAACACAAAAGCAAAAAGAGCAAAAAGAAATCTAAGAAGCGTGAAAAATCAGATACAAGCGACAGTGATTCTGAAACAGAAGTTTCTAGCGAAGAAGACAAGAAGCACAAACATAAGAAGAAGAAGAGAAAGTCGAAACACAAGAAACATAAAAAGCATAAGAAAAATGATTCATCAGAAAGCGATTATGATGATAAGAAAAAATAAAATTGTAAATACTGACTACTTGTGACTCATATGATGTATATAAATAAATTTATATTATTTGTAAAAGTTTATTCAGTTACAGTTTATTTAATTTTTTCGTTTCTTAAATTCTGTTTTGTGTCTATTTTCTTTCCTTTCATTTTTCTTAGGGTTTCCTTTTTAATTTTAGGACAATTAAATATTTCACAACTTCAGAAAGCTACGAAATGTTGTTTGTTTTAAGCAATGAAATTAATTAAGTTATCAATTATTATTTATAATCATTTCTGCATTTAAATTGGAGCATGCGTATCGATAACTGAAGTAAATTTTTTCCTGCGCAGACGCCATATTCAGTCATAATAAAGGAACTGAAAGGAACTGCCAAAGTATTTATAGGTTAGAATAGGACTAATCAGTAAACATACCATGACACGACACGCGAGGAATTGCACGGCTGGTGCTGTTTATACGTATCACGAAAAAAAGAAGGATGCAGCAGCCTCAGGCTACGGAACAAATACACAAAGAGTGGGAAAGGATTCTGTCAAAAATTTTGACTGCTGTTGTCTCACATTACAGCCTTGCAGAAATCCTGTCATAACGTTTGTATATTTTGTTGTACATTTCATTTGCTGTTCTTGTTTCATATCGCCAGTTACATATGTTTAGGAAGGATGGCTATTTATTTGATAAAGAAGCAATTTTGGAATATTTTTTAACCAAGAAGAGAGAGTATGCAAGAAAGTTAAAGGAATATGAGAAGCAAAAACAACAACAAGAAGTAAGTAATAAATCCTCTTATAACGCGGTTTCCTAATCATTTATAATAAGCTCTATAATGCTTTCAGGAACAACTACATGAAAAAACAGCTAACGAAGAATTGCAGAAGTTACAAAAGTTTTTAAAAGGAGAGAAAAATATTGTTTCAAGAAGTCAAACTGCAGGCGAATCAGGTTCTTCAGTTTCTAATATGTGCAATGGCAAGGATAAAATATTGCCCAGTTTTTGGATCCCTTCTAAAACACCAGAAGCAAAAGAAGTAATATTGCAAAAACCTGATAAAACAATCTACTGTCCTATTAGTGGAAGGCCATTAAAAATGAAAGATCTCATGCCTGTGAAATTCACAGAAGTAAAAGATCCAGATGACAAAAAGTCTCTTATAGTTAAACAAGCACGATATATGTGCCCTATTACACATGACATCTTAAGTAATAGTGTACCATGTGTGGTTATAAGGACAACGTACGGTTATTTCTATACTAATATGTCCTATGGTTATTTACTCACTGCAAGTAATTGTTACTTTGTTTTCTTCTAGCGGCGATGTAATTACAATGGAATGTGTAGAAAAGATTATAAAAAAGGATTGGATTAATCCCTTGGACAGTACAAAATTAACCGAAGCAGATATCATACCACTTCAAAGGGTAATTATTAAGGATATCATTGAAATAAAATGAACCGAAGCATATGATTGTTTATTATCATAATATTGATTCTTTTTTAGGGTGGTACGGGATATGCAGCAGTTAACAATTCTCTAGAAGGTAAACACGAGAGGCCAGTATTACAAGCATAAAAAGAATATGTGATCACTGCAACTTGATTAAATACATAATGTTACACAATTGAATGTACAAAAATACATGGACTTAATCTGATCTGTATAGTTTTACTATATATATTATTAAATTGTACCGAATGAAAAATATACAACATAACAAAAATTTGAGAAAATGTTAAACTCCTTTTACATAATAATTCACATGTCATACTTAAATGTGAACCATACAAATTTTAAATGAAAGTTATATTTTTATTATTTACAAATACATTGTATAATACATAATTACTCACTTTGATTACTGGAACCTTGGAATCATTGGAAAGCATCACCTCTTTTGTGCAGCACACATTATTTCACACTTTACAATTAACATTTTCAACACTATAATTAGTAATTTTGATAACCTACATTTCTTATATTTCTAAACAAAATTAACTTTCTATGTTCAATGACTATGATATAAAGCCAATCATATTTATTAACGTTTTAACAAAATTCTTTAAATAAAAGAATGATTTTTGTGGTAGATGAGTAACCATTCATTCATGTTAATAGAAACGTTAAATTTATTTATAAACATTCTTTATTTATTATCAGACATTTTCGATAGGGTAATAGTATTATAAAGCTTTCGTTCCTTTACGATATTAAACCTAACAACTATTAAATAAACGTTTTAACGTCGTATTCTTTTGAGGGAAAGATTTTTCCAAGTTCTCTGTAAACCTCTGAATTTCGATGTTGAGTATGTATTTTATTTTTCTCTAATTTACTTTTTACTTAGATGTAGGAATGAATGATTACTTCTTCAACCACAAAAATCGTTGCCTTAGTTCATAAATTACATACCACTTTGATAAATTTGTTAAAAAGTAACAACTTTGATTGTTATATTTGTATGTTTCTAAACTATCAACCGACACAACGTTCTCAAATGTTCTTTCGCGCTCGAAAAAGCCAATCCCATCATTCCTTGCGCGCGCATTTCACCGAATATAAAAAGGACCAATCACATATTTTTCATTTGAATCGATTGGCAATCTAATTCAGTGTTGCCAAGTGCATTTAATGAAAAAGCAGATAGTTCAAGAACTGAATTTGAAATGAGGTAATAGAAAATATAATTAAAATTTGTACTTGTACATGTAAAATAAAGTAAGAAGAGATTATTTTGTACCCCAGGTTTATAAAGATTACAAAGTTTCTCTTTTGATAACATAAAGCACAGCTTACAAAAATAAAATAAAATATTTATTAATTTAAATGTCTTTCTATAATGTTATACTAATTCTCGTTCGAAATATTTAATTTTCGTCCTCGTTTTACTGCGATATACAGCGTGACCTTTTGCGGGGCCGGGTTCAAAAATTGTTCAGGGCCTAAATTCACGTTCAAATCCTACACTTAAATTTTACAACGAGGAATTATTTATTTACAAATGCTATACAGGGTGTCCCAAAAATGTTGTAACACCTTGAAAGGGGTGGTTCGGGAGGTGATTTGAAACAACTTTTTCCTTAGCGAAAATGTTGTCCGAGGCTTCGTTGAGGAGATATTAACGGAAAACACTGACCAATCAGCGCGAGTATGCGGGTGGAGCGTAGGCTACGCGCTAGGCGACTGCGCTCATACGCTATCGCAAGCCGCTCCACCCGCATACTCGCGCTCTGATTGGTCAGTGTTTTCCGTTAATATCTCCTCAACGAAGCCTCGGACAACATTTTCGCTAAGGAAAAAGTTGTTTCAAATCACCTCCCGAACCACCCCTTTCAAGGTGTTACAACATTTTTGGGACATCCTGTAGATTTTTTATAAGATGAATACTTTGATGATTTTTGTCACTCCTTTCAATTTAATCATCGCTACTAAAAAAATGTGTTGCATCACAGCAAAAATTGCTTTCATTTGTTAATGGTATCATCAGTCTGTAAAAAGTTAATAAAAATCGGTACCTTTTAATTCAGTAATTTTCGTGGACCGCGGGGCCTTTTAAAACGCGGGGCCGGGTTCCGGCAAACGCGCTGAACTTGCCTTGCGCCGGCCCTGGCGATATAATATGCTAACATGCAATTTAACATGATGACTATTAAAATAATACTGAAATATTACATAATAAGATGAAGCTGTAAATGTAAAAAGTATGAAACTTAAAAGAAAATGAACAATAAAATTAGTAGATTTTTGAAATCAATAATAGACATGGCAACACTGATTCAATCCCGACCGATGCTTCTTCCAGAAGGTGTCGCCATCTTCAGGTACAGACTTTTTTGAAACGCTCCGAAATTCTCGCGCTCAGCCGGCCAGGCGGCAATCTGCGAAGCTGCGTTAGTGATTAGTGTTCTTTCGTGTAGTGCTTGCGCGTGTTCTCAAGTAGAATTCTGTCAATAATCATTTTCTCTCCTCAAAATCGAGTGTCACCATTGTTTATACAGTGAAGAAGTCGCGATGATCGTTCGCCAGTAAATTAAAGGTGAGTGTCCCTCTGCGTAAGTGTGCCTTTTATCGGATCAACTATTGTTACATGTGCAATGCCACGACGGTAACTCTTTGTACGCTTGGTAAGTCAGCAACTTGGTTACATTAGCAAGCGAAACGATCGCTCCCACAAGATTGTGGCGGGTATCAATAATGTTTACGATTAATTTAGCGTGGAGAAAAGCACATTTCATAAATCGTGACGCAGTCACGCGATTTAACACATATTCCGTTAATTTCGGTAGCAGTTTTGTTTACGATGAATTGAGACATAAATGCATCGTTTGGTTCGTAATTGGAGACGAGATAATGCGATCGTCGAAACGTAAGACAAATATCGACGAATTTTGCCTCTTTATGAATTGCATCTAGTTACGTTCGAATCATATTAAAGCAAACATGATGCATCGTCAGATAAGACGTCGCTCGTTAAATTCCCTGATACGTTTTCAAATATGAGCCTTGTTTTCGATTCGTACTCTTCGTCATTTTCATTTGTACGTTCGCGGGTTTAACGAGTTTGGGCTCCCACTACTGGTAGACATGGGCAAGATTCTTATCTAGATAAAAAGTCAAATAACGAACAAAAGAAAATTATTTTACCTTTTATCTGTTCGATAATGATTACAATCAGAATTATAGAATAAAATTATATTAAACGATTGAAAGTGTTTTTATTCGTTATCTATTACTCGAATAAATATTTATAAGTTAACGCGTACGTATACAAATTGGAGGATGATGTTTTTACAGTCTCAAGCAAGTAATTATTCGTCTAAAAAGAAACTGGTAAATAATAACTTCAATCAGATTGTAATAATATCATCTTTTGATTTATTATTCGAATAAAAGTTTCATCATCTTTGACTACCGGACACTGCAACATCTCATTTTTCACAGATGTGATTTTTTAGCAAGTACAGTCTGTTTTACATGTACTTTGAGCACATGAAACGTATATATAGTTATTTCATATGGAATTTTGAATCAAAGAAAAACTGTGTAGACAAACGGTTTATAAATAGAGATAGAGATATATTAGGAACGTGAAAAGAGACTGTACGAATGCTTCGATCAATTAGTTCTCAATTCAGTCAACGAAATTGATTTTCAGTTATCGATTATAGTTTCTTGTCGCCACAGACACACCGTAACTCGATTGCCAGTCGATGCAATTCATCTAATTTATACGATTGAAATCGAGATCACAATCGCATTGCATCGAGTATAACAATTCGAGTTATGTATCATTCACAGATAAAATAGTTTTTTACTAAATTTTAGTGAAACTTATATGTAGATAACAAATAAATATATTAGGTGTAGAAAATATTAGTATGTCTTTATACTCAATCATTTATAACTCTAGTTTAAGGAGGAATATTTAATTATCATTTTATTATGTTGAAATACCAACCTTCATAATTATCAAGTATAGTTGTAATCTGTTAGAGAAATAATAATAAACAGAATCGTGTGACCACCAAACCTCGCATATATGCATTTATCGTAATAGTCATTAGGTTACCTTCGATTATGAAATGTATTAACATAATAAGAACATAACAAAATGACGAGTAAATATTTCTACTTAAACTAGAGTTATAAATGATTGAATATAAAAGTACATAATTAATTTTTGCCTCTAATATACATAATGTTAAAATAAATTCATAAACGTCCGTTTATTTAAGTTACGTCTTTTAAGCAAAATATATTCTACAAACAAAGTGAAGATTCATTTTTACATTAATTTTGTAGTAATTGTCGCGCGAAATACTTCCTTGTTATTGTTCCTTTTTAATCAGTAGCAACTAAACATTGTTTTGTGCAAAATTGCAATCACAGGAACAACATTCACTGCTGTGATCTGGTTTATTGATAACCGTGATGTAATTTACAGGCATTATCATCCGCTTCGTTGTTGACTTACTGCTAAATCGTTATAGTTGCAGTAATATAATAACTAATTAACGATACAAATATTCTATAAATTCTACGTAGAGTTCAGAGTATTATACAGGGTGTTTCGTTTAAATAGAAATGATTAAATATCTCGTGAGGGGATGAAGCTATCAAAAAAATGTTTTCACAAAAGTTATTTGGTATAGAGAGCAAATTATACAGTATAAATAGTGGGGGAGATTTAACAAAGTAATTTTGAGATGATCCTATGGCTTTTTTATAAAATTTAATATGCCACTCAAAACTGTAATATTATTAAATGTTACTAAATACATATCTGAAATGGAATGTAACAACAACAAATTTGATAGTAATAATTTAAGATGTAGGTATATTAATTATTCATTGAAGGTGATAAGTGTCCACAGATTTATGGATTGGGCCGTATACATACGCATAGGTAGACGTGAATGTATTTGAACAGCATTAATTATTTGATGCATAATCTAAGATAAAATGAATGCAAAGTAATTTATCACCGTTACGTTAGCGCACAATACCTAATGATAGGAATAGTGTAGATAACTTTCCAAATGGATATAATACATGTTTTTGTATTCATGCATAAGCGACAATGTCAGATAATCATATACGTGTGTATATAAAAATGCACGCGAAACTTTGTTATAGTATAACTGAGATAGTGGCGTGACTAAAGGCATTACAATAAATAATTTGTAAGAAATAAAAAAAGGATATAAAAAATATTTTTTTTTCAATATATATGTTTCTATTTTACATGCAGGTTTAGAGTCGAATTAATTACTGATAGTTAATAGTGTAAAATAATAATTTTTCTGGTATTTTCTAACGAGGTTTATTAAATTAGTTTATACTAATGAAACTTTATACTAATTATTGTATGCGTGTAAAGTGTAAGTGGGCGGCCTTCTGTCGAATGCACATTTTATTACAGATAAGTCTCGTTTGCCAAAGTTCACGCATCATTTTTATTCGTCCGTTTCAACTTGCTGGTATTTCACGTTTATCGTTAAATATTATTTCGTCAATTTTGTCAATGCAAAATTTTCCAACATTCTAGGTGCAAATAATAGATAGTTCCCCTTTTATATCATTTTTAAACACGCAATAATCAGTATTAAGTTTCATAAAATTAATTTCTTTCCTTTAAGTGTGAATAAAGGTGTGTAAATTAGAAAACTAGTTATTTACTTTATACTTTACAATTTCAAAATTGCACGAATATTTGTATTCGTTTTAAAATCAATCAAACTTACATCATTGCATTGATATTACGCATTTAGACGAACATAATATTCTTACTTATTATTATTAGATATTTATACAAACATAATTATAATTTATTCGAATTATTTGCGGAAATTTCTTTGTACAGGCTGTGTCCTTATAATCTGGACACTTAGAGAACAAGGAAAATTTCCCAGATAGAATATTTATAAGAACATTTTATTCGGTTGGAAAATTCAATGGAGGTGCTTTTTTATTTTGAGTTGTAAAATAGATCTTTTTCAAATGCTTGTTGTTTAAGGTCTTCAGTATATTTCTATCAATTTATATAAATATCACATTAATTACAGGACAATTGTAAATTTAACAAGATCTTGTACATAGATGTACAAATAAACGTACCAAATTTCAAAATTTCACATCCAATATATTAGCAGCAAAATAAATCATGAACATTGCTTAGAGACTGGTACAGATATAGTTACCCCCTTAAAAACTAAAGCTACCAATTTATCTTATTCTAATATTACATAAAACGTTAAATGACTTTAAATAGTGTTACCAGGAAGAGAATAATAATAATAACCGTCACGAAAATAATGTAAATAATTAAGTGAAGTTTTCCCTATTAAAATAAGACCAAACACTGTCACATTCGGACTATTGTTAATTATGCGGGGTGTCTCTAATGTCTAGACATATTGAATATTATAATTAAATAAGATATTCTTATAAATATCCCATCTAGAAAATGGTCCATATTCCCTGTGTTTAAATTTTAAGGACAGCCTGTTTAAAGAAATTTCCGAAAATGATTCAAAAAAATCATTTTTGTATAAGTATCTAATAGCAATAAGTAAGAATATTATGGTCGTTTAAATGCATAATATCAATGCAATAATTTAAGTTTGATTGATTTTAAAAGAAATGTAAATATTTGTACAATTCAAAACTGGAAACGGATAAAATAAATAAAGAAATAAATAACAGGTTTTCTAGTATACACACTTTTATTCGCACTTAAAAGAAAGAAATTAATTTCGTGAAACTATATGTTTATCATTAAGACACATTATTAAGAGGACAGATCATACAAACATACACTACACACGTGTATACGTAACCGTATCGGTAGTTTGCGCTCATGTTCTAGCATATGCGGTTGTGTGTGTGCAATACGTAATAGAAGGTTAAGCTAGGTTGACCGACCATGATGCAGAGTGCATGCGTAACGAATAGCTCGCTCCGATCGCACGAGCACACACGTACGCGAGAGTAAAAACACGATACGTGCATGTGCCCGCTTAGATGATAAGCGGTGACACGACGTTATATCATCGTCTACGGGGCGCATGGCGCATATTGTAGCACGATCTCCACAGTTCTTTCACCCACTCGATTCGGTCGCGTTGCACTGCTCATACGTGCAACGTACAATACTGTGTAAAAGTATTAGGCAACCATACGAAAGTAGTATACAACTATTAAGTGGGTATCCTGAATTAGGAGGTGCAAAAAAAGCGGTTTTTCCTATTTTCATACATATTTGAGTAGTCTGTACAAATTTTTTCAACAAGAAATATTCAAATTCAGTTGACTGTGACGCACATTTCTAGAGCACCTCACAATTAAAACCTCCTGTCGGCGGGAAAGACATAGGTCGTAATTTTGATTTGACACAAAAAAACCAAAAGAAATTTTCATTTTCATACATTTTTCTTCTGTGTGACCTAAAAAAATTCATACAAAAAAAATTTTACACAACTTTTCTATCAAGTTAAAGTAATTTTTTTCATCCAAAGAATTCGTTTTTTCTTTCAA